ACTAAGGAAACCCACTTAATACTTCATCGTTAAGTTTCAAATTTCTTCCGCTTTTTTTGTCTTTGTTTTTTCTTCAATCTTTTTGCTAACTTTGCTTTCCTTAATCAAATTTCTGTCATTATTGGTCTAATTAGTTCATCGGAAATGGTGGAGGAAAAAGTGAAAAATATTGGTGAAACAGTTTGGAACGGTTCCTTAAAAGTACTGGTGTTACTTCCTACCAGTTTGTAACTGTAACAGAATTTGTGACAAATTCTAGAACAATTATGTAAATAGATTCTGTTAGCTAAGTGATAAGTAGTATCACTGCTCATAAAAATGAATAAGGAACAGTGAAACGTTTTGGATCATTTTTTGCGTTAGAAGTATCTCTATGTGTTTTATACAGTTGATTTAAAGGCCAACTTAGGCATTTCATGTAAATAAATAATGAATATAAATGTATATATATATATATTATATATAATATGTGTAAATTATGTATATGTTTAAATGCTAACATCAAAAAATAAATGAGTATAAAAATATAAATATAAATATAAATTAAATATATTTGACTGGACACATATAATCAGTTGAAGAAGTCAGTAGTCAAATAATTTTTCAACTTTTTGTTGCCATTTTTCTTTAGCACTGTCGAAGTAATCCTTGAATCATGTTAACAATCCCTCTATTTTTTTTCGTACTCTTTTGCTTCTCATCAAGCAGAAGACTGATCGACCCGTTTGATGATTGAATTTTTCCATCTTTTTTTTTTCTTTCTATTCCTGCAATTGTCAAACTCATCAAACAGCAATGTTACTGTGGTTTCAATAAATGCGAATTTCATCTTATCTGTTTTTTCGTTCCTATTTTCTTTTCGCTGAACTAATCATTTATCTGAATTATGAATATGATATGTGGCTAAGACTTGGCGATAGGAAAGAGTGCGGACGAGAGTGGGCGATCAGGGGCTATATGTTGAAATTTTCGTAAATGCCTTCAAAATTTTTGGTTTTGTGTAGTTAGAAGCGACCTCACTTTGAAGAGGGAAACAAAGAGGAGTCAACAGCAAACTGATGCATGAACGTTGGGAAAGTTCTTCAAAAGAAAGAAAAAGAAAGTGTCAGTCTTCGGAAAAAGCGAAAACAATATCGTTTTATCCTTTATCATTCACTTTTTTGGCCTATTCTTAGCTGTATTTTAATTGTGTTCAGACGAATTGAGGAGGAAAAGATTTGCTAATTTTTTTTTCTTAATTGTTGAAACGTACGCAGTTCAAAACTTTGTTTTTGTTATCATCGGACATTAAACTGTTGTAGTTTTAGGAAAACTTTACAGTCATCATTATTGTAACTGCTGTTGCTGTTACCACTGCTGCTACTGGAGAAAGTAGAAAGTCAATATTCATATTCTGATTTTGTTTGTCATCTCTGAACGGAAAACAAAAAATACGTAAAATATCACTGAACAGAAAACGGAGAAGGTGGAAGAACGAGGAAACCACAACCACAACAACAGCAACAGAAGCAGAAGTGGGAGAAAAAAGAGGAGGGGAACGAGAAGAGTTATTTAGAAAGTAATAAAGAAATTGAGCAACAGAAAAATAAAGTATCTTCTGAAATCACTTCAACAATTACGTTGTCAGATTTTTTGTTCGTCAATTATCGCAACAAATTTCGCTTCAAAAACATTTTCAAAATTTCAAGTTTAAAGCAAAAAAGCGAAAGTTGTCTATCAAATCCGTTATTTGACTACGCTTTTATGGGAGATTCTACTCTTCAACTGCCCAAAAGTTAGTTGCTTCCTTCTTTGCTGTTCTTCTCAATTCATACTTAAATACCAGAAAAAAAAATTTTTTTTGCTTTTTTTTCGTTATTTTTTTATTTTTATCTTCATTTTTAGTTTTTTTTTTTTTTGATTTTTTGGAAGGCTTAGCAAGCCATTAGTGTTTTGGAGCTAGTAAAATTGATTTGAGAATTAATTTTCTTTTCTTTGATCATTGTTTAGCTATAATCGGTTATCAGCGCTGTCGTAACAAAAATTGTGAGCTGTGTTAACTGCTAAAAAATTTCAAATTTTGCATTTTTAAAGCTACCTAAAAATAGGATGCTATTTGTTTTATTTGGGTGTACCGCTGAAAGGGGGGAATTATTACCGGTTGCCAAAAATTCTGATGGGAAAAGAATGGAGAAAAGATGATTAGCCTGGCAAACTGTTTAATATGTTATTTGGGGAAAAATTTGCATGACAAAACGACAACAGTTACAGCTAAATATTATCCGATATAGTGCTACAGCGGTTTTGTTGTAACCGGTCTGCTGGTGAAGCAGTTGATGCGATTGTTTTTTTGGCTGGAAGAACAGAATAGAAGAGAACAGAACAAAGATATGAATAATTGAGGATGGTTTTATGTTGTGTCGTTGGAACAGCTAATTTGAATGATTCATTTGCAGAAGATGAAGAGATCAAGAGGCCTTCTGTGTTGCAAATTTCCAAATTATCCTCCTGTTACGGTAGTATGAGTGCTTCCACTTCAACGGCGATCCCACATCAGCCGTCGTCGTCACCGTCATCGTCGTTGTTATTGTTGCATAAAGGTGATGGTGCTACCGACAAGGAAGCTGCTGAACCACCGTACGGTGTAACACAGGAAGATTTTGAGTAAGTGTTTATGCATATAGTTCACTGACTTTTTTTTAGCCATCTGTATTTCTGCTTACAAATAATGATTGTACAGATGCAGGATTTTTTGAGGTCGAAAAAAATAGCATAAACTCAAAATAAGTATAACGTTAGTGTGCTCTTTATTAACTTTTTCTCATTGTAGAAATAAAATAAATAGGTTTCTCTATGTATTTATTCGAATTTTTTTATTGTCTTTTTTTTTGTTGTCTTCTTTTGGGATTACTGTTAGTCGTCTTTGTGTGACAATTTTTAGTATTGGTAATACCAGCTTTATTTTCGTAAGCACTAAACAGCATTTATTCTTCATTTGACGTAAAAAAAAAATGTAGCTTTTTGTAAGTTGGTCTAATAATTTTGTGCTTTTTTATGTTTACACAAACATAGAGCAATCAAATAGACATAGCTTTTAAACAGACATTATAATATAATAATATAATTTGTTGGAATTGACAAAAAAAAAAAAAAAAAAA